AGAAAATGAAGAAGAATGATCTGCCTTGGGAAGGGATGTTTTTACTCAAAATAAACCTTGACAATGAGTGTATGTGAGTTCATAGTGTATTTCAAACATTCTTGCACTTAAAATATTTTCAGAGCACTCAGATTAAAGTGGCAGAGAACAATGGAATATATGCTGGCGTATAAGTTGGACTTTGTTCCATGTTTGTCATAATAGAAAATAGCAAATACAATATTCACTTAGCATCCATAATTCAACCGTGTTCTTTATTTGCTTTGGATTTGGTAAGTAATGTGTCAGACTCCTTTCAGGGCCTGGAGAAAATCTGTGTTATAGAGAATGCTGATCCTGTCTCGAAAACGACGCTGGAGTATGACCTTGCCAAACTGAGATGGAGCCCCCTGATTGGGTGTAATTTTTCTGCCCTTTTTTTTCTGTTTTTCTCTTCACAGATGAGAATTTCCTAGTTAGAAGGTTACTGTCTTAAATTAAGACTTCATATTTATTTTTTCTTATTTTATCATGTTCCACTCTACTTTTGTAGCATTTTCCCTAAATATATGGACCACCCAGTTGTTTTAAGCCAGCTGTCAAAATAACATTCAGTAAGAGGATTGTGCTCAATTTTGCAGGATATAGCTGTGCAAATGGTTAAGCAGAGAACCTCGATATGGCAGACCCATGTCTTATTGCTAACACCACCTTAGCAAACTCAATTAGCTCCATTTTTACAAGTCTAACCTCTAAATGTGGATTAATTCTGTTCTACCTGGGGTGAAATGATTTGTAAATAAATGTTTTATGTGAGCTAAGTAGTAAAAATTACAGCCCTTTTCTGTTTTGAGTTAGACTGTCTGGCATTGAAGTAATTTCTGGAAACCCTCATTCTCGGCCTTTTAGCGAAGACCAGCGTTATCTGAGCTCTTATGCTCTGTCTGTCAGACACTAATTGAAGAAGTCTCCATTCCCTTGCTAGCTCGACTTTATAACGAAACCATGGAAAAGGTCCTTTGCCCTTAATAAGGGATGGGCTTGTTTAGGACAGTTGCACGTGCTTCACCAGTTGACATCTCCTACGTGTAAGTAAGCTGCTGTTTAAAACTAGTTCAGGGATGTCATACACAGCTGTTCACTCTGTTCGGTCACCAAGCACTCATAAAAAGCATCTCTCTATCGGTGCATTTGAAAATGTTATTTGAGTAACATTTGTGGTCAGGAAATTTGAGGTGCTGACAGGACTCTGAGGTGATAGTCTTGTAGCTGTTCTCCAGCTGACCCCAAATCTGATGAAATTTTGAAGAGTGTATTCACTCTTAGGCTCAAGGCCTGTTTACTCCAACGGGGCTTTGTGTTCCTCCCAAAGAACAACATTTTTTACTTCATCGTGTTAAGGACTGAGTAGTTATGAGACCTGTACATTCCCAGTAGGAAAAAGCTGTGTCAACCAACTGATCTTTATCAGCTGCTGCAGAGGTGGGTCTCAAATGCTGACCTGCTTCGTTTCTGGATCCAATGAGAAAACCACTGGGAAGGGTAGCTGCTCCTCTGCTGCACCTAAAGGTCTGGAGACAATAACAAAAGACAGTCCCACCCCTCAGGAAGAATAGAAATGTTTTACAGCAATAAAATAAATCTATCTCAAATCAGTTCAGGCTGGGATATCAAGATGTGGCTTTAAGTGGTAGAAACAGGCTTATCTATTGTGAGGGGAAAATGAACTATGTTGAAATGGGGTTTTAGGCTGAATGAGAATCTAACCCTCAGTGTGGCCCTTGCTCCAAATCAAGCCTTACATGTTTGTTTTTGTTTGCCTAAGTCATTGCACAACCAGGAAGTGGGAGGAAAAGTTGTTTGCTTTCATATCAAGGGAAGTTTATTCATGAAAGATGCAAGTAAAATGCGCCACTGCTTAAGGCTTCCAGATGGTGAGAACTCCAGCGTTTGGAAACCTGCAGCTTTTGCCTCAAATATTTTAGGGAAGTTTATGTAGCTTGTAAAGAATTACTCTGTACTGAAATTAATGTCTACAGGCTTCTTTGTTTCAAAAGCCTCCCTTGCTACACAGGAGCCCTCAGTACCTACTACTAAAGTGTTTGGATTTTGTGGGTTTTTTTAGGAAAAAAAGAAAAAAAAAAAAAAGTGGGGGCTATTAACTTTAAAATCAGTTAGAATTACTCCCCAAGGGGAAGTTTTTGCCCAGGGCTCTGTAAATACTCTGACTTAAATATGACTGTAATAGGTTCATCCGTCTGGAGTCATTCTCCTCTCCATCACGAGTAGGGCTGATTTCCTGGTAAGCCAGTTCAGTTTACTAAACCAGCAGCTAACTAACCATGTCCCCCATTCCCCTCCCAATTGTTTTTAGATTATTAAGAAAAAATATCTCACTACAAGGTTATGTGAGAGATGGTAGCAGTGCAAGGGTGTAGCGAGGGGACACGCAGCAAGCAAGGGAGGGAGCTGTAGCAGCCCAATGCTATTTGGCTTAGGTCACTGTATGGATGACTGAGAGTTAAACCTTATCATCCTCTCTCTTCACGGGACTCTCCACATAGCGTCTATATTTTTGCTCTCATTAGATCTTTACATCCTTCGTACATGTTCTGTCGTGTTTCACACCACCTGTACTACTTACAGATGATGTTTCTTTCATCACATCAGTTTGGGAGAAGCAATATTTTTAATCAGGCCTTTCTTTCTTGAAAATGTTTTTGGCCACATGAAACAAAGCATCCGTATGTGGGACCACTTGTTGAGGAACTGCCATGGGAATTATTTGCATTGGTGGGACTGATGTGTTCATAGGCGCATAGCCTGAAAGGGGTTAAGTTTTTCTTCTCTCTTTGATACTTTCTTTGCACTCTGATTTTACCTAAACAAAACTTCTTTTGCACTTGCGTATTCATGTTGCATTTGGCACCATCCTACACAGTCTGTCCATAAAACCTCAGTGTCCCAGATTAAGCCAAGTTATTATTATTCAGGTATTTATTATTCTTATGAATATTGTCAAATGTAAGTGAGCCAAGTGCATGCTTCACAGCCTTCCTAATATTTAAGTGACTTTGATTGTACTGTGTCTCCACAAAAATAGATCAAAATGTGTTACTATATGCTCTGATGTGGTGCGAGGTGTTGGAATTTGTCAGACTCCTTTTGTGTCCCTCCCCCAGCCGTTTTCCCAGAGCCTGAGAAACCTCTTCTTCTAAAGAAGAATGTTTACACAACTTTGCATTCGTCACGAAGTACATGAAGTTTTGATTTTGAATGACTAGAGAACAGCCAGCAGCAGAGCTTTTTATGCTTTTGGAAGTGTTAACTCTTCAGTTTGTTTATGGCAGGAGTAAGCATGAGGATGAGCGCACAGGGTATTTTTGTATTTGCAGAGAAAGTTTCAAAGCTTAAGCGCTGCTTGTCTGCCATTTGCAATCAGCAGCAGCCAGTGTGGAAGGACTCCTTGTAGGAAGTGAGGTAGTTGCTGTACTTGATAGAGGACTCTGTTCCAGGAGCTCTGCTGTTTTGATTAATTCTCCACCCTTTGCCAGATCTTGTCTGTAGGTCTTTTTCTCTGCTGAGTTTTCAAGAAGGCTGCAAAGAACTCTACAGCTTAGAGAAACACAGTGTTGCAGTTCACATACTATGTGCCAGAAATATCTGTTTCATTCCTGCCTGTTATTCCCAGTTTCCCTGGTTAGCAGGCTGAACTTTCAGTGTTAGTTTTAACATTTAAAGGAAGCAGTTGTTGAAAATGTAAACTCTTAAATACAGTAGTTGGTGTGGCTACATGATTTGTGACATTCCCTTTAGATTCAAGGGGAAAATCCCCTTAACACTGGGGTGCATGATGTTAGAAATGAACGTCTCCTTTGAAAGATAGTAGAAAACATCCTGGGAATACTGGGGTTTTTTTTCAGTTTGGGGCATGTTGATGAAGGTCCCAACTTTTCACATGCAATTTAATAGTAATTGAAAGTGTTTTGTCTTGAATTTGTTTTTTGCATTACTCCTGCTGGAAGACAGCTCTGTATATCAAGCTAATGTTAGTAGGACCCACGGGGAAGCAGTATGTTTGCCTGTACTGTGCCCATATCTTGAGACTCACTGATGTTGGCATGATATGCATCAGGAGGATAGAAACTTCTCTGTTTTCAGAAGCTTTTCCTTCATTTTTGCTTCCCAGCAAAATAAAGTCTGCAGCATGCGTATAGGACTGCTTCTCTGAATCTTGTGGTGCCAAGGATGTCAAACACGAACCTTCAGCTGTAAAAAGGCTGCATTCAGTATAACTTCTTTGGTTTGTTCCGCAATTATATCTTTGGTAATTGACGCTGTTAAGTGTGTCCTGCCATAGTGTGGTTCGTAACCTCTGCAATTTCCCACTGTTCAAACAAGCAGGTGCTTGAGGTGAAAAGCAAAACCAGAAGCTGAAAAAACACATCTCTAGCATAGTCTCACAAATGTCCAGTAGCTTTGATTTCTCCAGATGATACTCACAAACGCTAAGGGTTTTTTTTTCCCCCTCTACACAGAAGAAAGATGAGCTCTGTAAAGGACAGTGCAGAAGCACAACTTGATGTAGTTTAATTTAGGAGCTGAATCACCTTTTAGAGGAACTAAATTTTGTCCACTGAAAGGGGGAAATCAGGATTGACTAGAATGACTAGAGCAAAGTCAGTCACTGTGAATGTTTTCTTCATTAATTCCCCAAGCCGTGGCATTCCATGGGGATCTATTACATCACTAGGGACGTTAGTTTAGAAATTGGGTGGGACGAGATGCACAATAAGGTATATGGCATGGGTTAATGAGACAGCAGCCATGTAAAAGTATGACTACAAAAACTTTTTGATGTGCCTTCTCACTTTCAGAGCTATTATCTTCTTGGGAGGCAGTGGAGGTATGCCAAAAGATCTAAGGACAGGGAGGGGACAACTTACCAGTACTCGGTTTGTGAATGAAAGAGAAAGGAGGTCTTGATAAAAGAAAAGTGACATGTAAATGTTCTTTTCCAGTTTTCACCTGGCAGCCACAAAAGGGCATGCAGAGTGCCTCAGGATCATGGTGACACATGGTGCAGATGTGACAGCCCAAGATGGTGCAGGTATGCCTCTGTGAAGCTACACTAATATACTCAATTTGCTTATATAGTTCTTGATGCGCAGAGTACAACTACAGATTTGACAACACTGCTTTTTGCCCCACAGCATGCAGGAGAAGCAGTTGTAACAATTGCAGGTTTAGGCATACTTTCTTTTCTGGACATAGAATTCAGATTCTAAAGCCCTTAAAAACTTTTGCCCTAATACTATAAATGGCAGCATTTATAGTGGACTCCGGATGCAAAATAGTTGCTTGATTTTTTTTTTATTTTATTTTATTTATCCAAGCTATTAACCCCATTAACTGTACAGGAGTTGCAGTAAGACATTTCCTCAGGATTATGACATAGTGAAAAGAGCTGATACAGGCCAAAACAGAGCTGAGAGCTATTAAGTATGCTGTTTCAGCCCTCAAAAGTCCTATGCCTTAATTACTGCTCCACTAGGAGAATGATGGGAACTGAATTTGAAACTGGCAAACTCTTCTTAATAGATTTCAGTTGACATATCTGTGGAATCTGTGCCCAGCATTTTCTCTGGCTAGCAGTCACCTGAATGAGCTGTCAGCGTTCTGTCTCTTCAGTAATGATCTGTAAATGGTGGGCTCACAGGGTCTGTTTTGGCCACCAATTGCAGCCTGAGGGAATTTCTGTCATACATGGAAATGATTTGCCTCTATAAGGAAGTGTCTGTGACACTGGAAGAAGCATTCAGATTATACATAACGATAAGAGAATAGATGTACCTGATACAGACTGCTATTCAGAATTCATACTTCATCTTGCTTCAGGATTTATTAGTTGTTTGGATAATAAGAGGTTGTCTGCTCTCACCTGAGAGTGTCGACCCAGTATTCATTAGGGAAAGCCTCATCTGTAATAGTCACATTATTTACAGTGACGTTCTGCTGTCAGAAGTGGCTCTGTCTGTATTGAGTACTAAATCTTGGCTCCTTCTTTTCTTAGTTACATGGATAATTTATTCTTTTGCTGTCTTGGCCTCCTTAATTTTTCATATGCTCTATAAGATGAAACTAGAGGAGAGACTGCAGTCTTTCATCATAAATCCATAGTCAGTAAATCACTGTATTGCATAGCTAAATATGAGCTCACAGATACTAAATAAATTAACAGAAAAGAGAATCTGTTAGATGCAAACAGAAGTAGGCCTGTGTTCTGAGTCCTCTTCTACATGTACTCCATGGATGATACAAATTCAATTGTAGTGGAGCTGGTAAATTTGGCTCGTTTTGCTCTTGGTGATGGGTTCCTTTTTCATTGCCAAATGGAAGAAATCATGAACACACTTGACAGACATCTCTCTGCAAGGGAGGCTGAGTAATATAGGAAATTTTTTTTTTAAGAAACAAAACATAACTGCGCAATCTTAGACGTACTTCTGCCAAGGTATAGTCTGGCACAATGTTTGTGTTGTTCCTTTATATGAAGCTAGACATTAAGATTATTCTGTTACCTGCCTGAACAACAGTCTGTTGTAAATACATTCTGATGAATGTACATTTTTATTTTGTTTTCCCTACCCTTACTTTTCATGTGTTGTGATAGGAACAAGATGGACAATTCAAAATTTTGCCTTTGTCATGGAAGAGTTTATTCCTGTGCTTTGGCGTGATTGAATACTTAATTTGCTTTGCTTGTACTCATTTAGGGCACAACGCTTTACATCTTGCAGCAAAGAACAGCCACCCTGATTGCATTAAGAGGTTACTTCAGGTAAAGTAAAAATTAAATTAATTTTGATTTTTGAAGTTTTCCGTTTGTTCCTCTAGATTGGTTCCTCTAGATATTGACACATTTCCTGCATAATAATAATCTGCATCACACTGCTATGCTGTTGTCCTGTCTCTTTGCAATCAAGAGAGGTGCTTGAGTTTAAAGACCTTTTAGAAACTGTGAATGGATGATAGAAAACGGTCTGGCATCTTCCCTAAGTGGTCCACAAATATGGTTTTCCATGTGCAGCTGGTCTGACATGGCAGGGTTGGGTTTCAAGCAGGTTGCAGCTCCTGTGCTTTGTCTGTGTGGTTGGATGGCTTGAAAGTAGATGGGTTAAGAGGTATAGGGGAAAAGGATTTTTCAGTTCGGGGGGGGGATTTTGATATTGTTCCATTGGAATGCTTTCTGTCTGTTCTTGACCATAGAAATCTCTGTCAAGTTTAAAGTCAAAAGGAGAAGAAACAGAAGTAGTTTAGATGCTAAAATATGGAAATACTTGAATCCTCAGTGAAATGAGGCAAAGGATAGTGAGGGGTTTGAATGGGAGTAGAAAGAATGGAGAAAGAAAATAAGAAAAACAAAAGTGAAGATGAAGAGAAGATTCTCATGGTGTTGAGGCTGAAGATTTGCATTAGTGAGCAAGAAGAGGCATTGTCCATCTCTGCTCCATTTCAGAAAGCCAGGTGAATTTTGGTGGAGGTGGTCAGAGGAATGGGACAGATATTTAGGAGCTTGGGGCTATCAGTAAGACTGTGGCTCAGCCTACAGATGAAATAATGAATAATAACCCTGCTTGAGCACAGCGGTACAGGAAGAGAATGGATCCCATATCCCAACCTTCAAATTCCTTTTCCCCAGTTACCTCAGGGCTATTCAGTTGTGCTGTCACTGACCCCTCAATGTCAACGTCTCTGACAATATTGCATCCAATTTCATTGATTCCCACCTCCAGACTCATTGCAAGTGGACTCCCCTGTTCCTGCACACCTGAAAGGGGTGATCATTAACCATTGAGGCACCCCACTTCGGAATTTCGTGGCAAAACCCCACTACTTCTAATGCTAACCCATTTATAGCATAAACAGTGACATCAAGCTGTCACTGATGGTATCGCATGCAGCAGCATGATCAACTCAGCAACTAGATGTGTGTTTAATACCAAGTATCTGCTACTCATTCACTTACCAGATATAACCACAGAGTGCTTTTCTTGGTATTTTGCTAATTTTATTACAATATGCAGATTTCTAAATATGTTTGTAAGTGCAAACCCATTGGTAATATTCTCCAGTAATTCATGCTCTTTGGATTGCTTTCTTGCTTCTGTGGACCGGCTTTGTGATATAGCCTGTTTGTATGTGTGAGGAACATCTAACCTTGACATGCTGGAGTGGAATTAAAACAGGCTAAATAATTATTTTACACAGGCAGAATCTTGACATTTTTGTTACAGAATTTCCGTGAACCTGTTTTCCTAGGAAATTATAGAAGTTAGAAGCAGGGCTGTATTTGAAAGTCAAAGGGTTTAATGTTTGTTTCTTAAAGTCCATTATTTCAGGGTGATATTTTTTCTTTCTTTGCTGTAAACTGAAACTAAAATATTCTGTACCAAAACAAGACTTGATAAAGATTTGTAATTTGATATTTTCGTATTTATTACTTCGAAGTCGAGATTGATCAGTAGTAGCTGATGGCTTATAATAGTACCAAATATAACTGGATTGTCAATGCTTTAGTTTTCACAAATGAAAATGAAGCGTTACTGCCTTCAACAGAAATAACTCAAGACTAGTTGCCTTAGAACGTGATTCCTTTAGCTCTTACTGTAATGTAAAATATGAAGCTTTTCTGAGGCAGAGGAGAGAGTTTCTTTCCTTTTTATTTCCTGATTTAAATTGTTCCAAAACTATAACATTTTTTAGGAATATCGCCCTCACCATGAGTGTTTCCTACAGCTTCAGTGTAAACTGGTAACAAGAAAGGAGAGACAAGATTGGTAGAAAGGAAATCTGTGCCTTTCTATAGTGTTTTTTGTTTATTATTATATGGACTGAGCTTTCTGGAGTAGCTCATAAGACTTTTCTCAGAGATGTCCAGCACTTTGTTGTTAGCGTCAAATGTATGTTTTATTTTCTTGGTGTTTCTCTAATTGCTTTTTCTTCTCCTTTTTGAACTGTGCAGAGTAAATGTCCAGCAGACAGCACTGACAATTCCGGGAAAACAGCTTTACATTATGCAGGTAACTTCTTTGTTGAATTTCGGGTGTTTTTTAGAGGAATGCTGTGAATACTGAATTTCAGTTAATTACAATTAACAAGTTCACACCTGCAGGTGCAGAGCCATTGGAATACTTAAGATAAGGTTGATTCTGATTTCAGCCCTTTAAAGATTATAATTTCTCATGCTAATTTGGACCATGAATATTGGTTGTATTTCTGTATACAGCTTGCTGTTCATCCTTTTAGTCTTTCTCTCCTTCCTGCTTATAACAGAGAAATACAGGTTAATTTCTTGGACACCACTGTAATGCTGCAGTATTACCAGTGGAAGTGTGGAACACAGATTTCGAAAATGAGGTTTAATGGACCTTCGTGCTTGTCTCTTTTGTTGTTGTTGTTGGTTTTTTTGGTTGGTTTGGTTTTTTGTTTGTTTTTTGTTTTTTAGCTGCATGTGGTTGTCTTCAGGCAGTTCAGCTTCTGTGTGAACACAAGTGTCCAATTAACATCAAAGATTTGGTACGTACCTCTTCTCCCATTGTCTACTTTAGAGCTTTTACCACCCTCCACTCCAGTCAGTCTCAGGTGCAGCAGTTCAAAGCAATACTATGCTTATATTTCTTCTTTAATTTCTCTGGCAGAGGAAGTTCATTTTGCAGCTTGCCATAGCAGAGGTGGGGAAGTACTTCACAATCTAATACAGTAGTGGCAGGATTTGTTGCTTGTTAAATTGAGACATTGTTACAAGTAACTAGAATCAATTCTGATATATTCAAAACATGATTAAAAGTCTTTCCATTTATTCCAGTAGGCTTTGGAAAAGGCCTATTATGTGGCCACGTGCTGTGAAATGCTCACAAAGCCCAGCCAGAGTATGATAAGCCTGAGGGGAAAAAATATACTTGGTGTAGTCTAAAGGCTCAGGGACACTGCATTCACTGTTATGAAATATCTACAAAATGATGCAATTACCTGTTAGGAAACACCCTGTTGATAAAGGGAGGTGACCTGACAGAAATCAGGCACAAAAGCAAAAAAAACCATAACAACATTTAAACTTGTTTGTTTGTTTGTTTTTTACTTGGATCTGTCTCCTTCTTACCTGATCTTTCTACTAAAAAAATCTGTCACAGAGGTTAGACCTAAAATTTCAGCAGATGGGTTTTAAAGGCAGAAAAGGTTTGTTCAGTCTTAAGAAGCAAATGCTGTAGGAGTATCTTCAAAATGTCTTCAGCTGCATCATAGAATCATAGCATACCAGGTTGGAAGGGACCTCAGGGATCATCTGGTCCAACCTTTCTAGCACAATCCAGACAAGATGACGCAGCACGATGTCCAGCTGAGTCTTAAACATGCACATCAGAGCAGACTACACCACTTCCGTGG